ATGTTTTAGCCATTTTTGCTCTGATGGTCTTTTTTCAGTGGATTTGAAATAATACTTGTCAGTGAAACAGGCAAGACCATTTAAATAGGCATTTCACTCTTTTTAATAGAATAAAGAATACAGATACTGAGGTTATACACTGTACTGTGTACCTATCCCATAGATTTTAACACATTGGCCATCTCCCACCCAGGAAACACATTCACCATTATTCATTCAACAGTTGTCCTGCCAGAAGTGTGCAGACATCCCATTTAAAATGACCCTCCAAACTTCAATAGCCTCACCCCTCCCTCCCTCACTGCAGGCACAGCATTTTCCACCTCCAGGACTCAAATCCAGCTAACCAGCTTCCCTGAATTCCTTCATATCCAAAAGAGATACAGTACTAAATTACCCTGTAATTCCCTGTCTACCTCACACCCCTATACACTCTTGTGGTGAAGCCTTGTGGTCACCTGAACCAGGATGTCTATTGCAAACATTCTCTCTTCTCAGTGGCTCCTCCTCTCACATGTATCTCTCACTCATTTCTTCTTCTCTTTGTATGTACTGCTTCCTCTCTCATGTGAATGAAGTTGATAGATATATTTTATTAATATTCAGAAGCTAATTTTTTTTTTCAACACAACAGCCATCTCCCACCATTACTCACACAATATCACTGTCTTTGCAGAGGCATCCAGATATGACAGTTGAGATGTCACTCCAAATAGCCAATATCCCAAACCCCTCCTTTAACCCTTAAATGGTCCAAACGTATATATATGTCCTTACGCGTAGCACCCCAAATGTATATGTACGTTTTAATTTTCCTGCCTCCAAATATGGCATGACTGCCCTGAGATGCCTGGTCAGCATAGAATGGGTCTTAACACTCGGTATGCACCATATTAAAAAAATCTGGGACCTCTTAGTACCTTGTGGGAGCACCAGTTAAATTGAGCGCCAGCTAGAGCAAACAGTGCAGCAAACACCATGGATTCACTGATGTAATGTCATATTACCACTCCTCTTTTAAGGGGAAAGTGATGTTAATCCCAAGTTTAGGGTCTGTCTATCTCTGTCTCTGCCTATCTCTGTCTCTGTCTACCTCTGTCTATCTGTCTCTGTCTATCTGTCTCTGTCTATCTGTCTCTGTCTATCTGTCTCTGTCTATCTGTCTCTGTCTATCTGTGTCTGTCTCTGTCTATCTTTGTCTCAGTCTGTCTCTGTCTATCTGTCTCTGTCTCTGTCTTTGTCTATCTGTCTCTGTCTATCTCTGTCTCACAGGTACACGTAAATACAAGTATACATAGTATAAATTACCTAGGGTAACCCAAAAAATCCAGACAAAGTGCTATACTCTGCTTGAAGATGTGAGTAAAAGTGATAATGCAGTCTTGTGGCTCTCTCTGAGACAGAGAGCTAGATGGATAGACAGATAGACAGTGAGCTTGACAGACAGACAAATAGAAAGACAGACATGTTTGTGTACCAGCAAAAACAAAGCAAGGACGATGCTCATCAAATGACTTTTCTTATCAAGTGTTATCGCTGCACCCTCACATATGCTCATCAAACGTCAGCTCTTATCAAATGTTATCTCATCTTATCATGTCACTGTCAGGGGTGGAGTTTGTTTTTCATGCTTCAGGGGAACTTATTATTACCTATTATTATTATTACGTATTCTCCTCCTCCTCCTCCTCCTTTTCTTCCTCCTTCTCTTCCTTCTCCTCCTCCTCCTCCCCCTCCCCCTCCTCCTTCTCCTCCTCCTCCTCCTCCTCCTCCTCCTCCTCCTTCTCCTCCTCCTTCTCCTCCTCCTTCTCCTCCTCCTCCTCCTCCTCCTCCTCCTCTTTCTCCTCTTCCTCCTTCTCCTCCTCTTCTTCATTGTTATTATATACTTCCACATATCCAAAACATTGCTGGGACATATAAATGCTTTGTATATATTCCAAGACAATTCAATTCAATTCAATTCAATTCAAATTTTATTCTCTATAAGGATTACAATGCTGAGTTTACAGAATTTGGTTATTGTGTGGTTTACATGTAGTAAAATAATAATTACAGAGTGTACCACTAGAACACCTAGCATGGCTAGGCATTTCGGGCAGACTTAGATTAATTCTTAAATTTAAAATATTACAAATTATGAGGTAAGTTGGTATTCTGGCTAAGTGACTAAATACTAGTTTGTGAGTTTAGCAATGTGAATGCTTTTGTTTTGGCACAGTACATAGTTTCAGTATTGGAGTATCACAGGCCAACGTATGACTAGTTAGGATTCATTATTTTAAGATTGAGATTGATATTTCTATTTATGGACAAATGGGTGAGTGAGTGTAAGTGTTAACCACCAGGTGGTATTCATGTAGTTAGTTGACGGGGTGTATCAGGGAGATAAGATGTTTTCTAATGGTAGTTTTGAAGGTGATGAATGTGTCTGTAGTTCTAGAGTTTTCAGGTAGGGTGTTCCAGATTTTAGGGCCTTTGACATACATTGAATTTTTGTAAAGGTTCAGTCGGACATGGGGAATGTCATAGAGATGTTTGTGTCTGGTGTTATGCCTGTGGGTTCTGTCACAACTATCAAGAAAGCATTTTAGGTCAAGGTTAATATTGGAATTTAAGGTCCTGTAGATGTAGACTGCACAGTAGTAAGTGTGGATGTACTGAACAGGGAGTAAGTTTAGATCTATGAAGAGTGGGGGGGTGTGTTGCCAGGGATGGGATTTAGTGATTATTCTTACTGCGGCTTTTTGTTGGGTTATTATTGGCTTTAGGTGTGTTGCTGCAGTTGATCCCCAAGCACAAATAGCATAGGTGAGGTATGGATAAATAAGCAAGTGGTATAGTGTGCAAATGGCCAAGGCAGGTGTAAATGTCCACCTGTCAATGTGTTTGTGACAATTTGAGTACAATTTCAGTACCTAATACTAGTGTCAGAAAAAAGAATGGTTATGAAATGACAAGAACTACTATAAATTGTAATTATCAGAACATAAAAATTATATAAAATAATATGAAAAATAGAAAAAAAAGGTATATCGACAACACTTCTGCAAGTGGCAGGACTCCATGTTGCCATCACATGAGCATCCAGTGCCAACTTCTCTGCCTCATATCTCTGTAAGTACTGACCCTAATTTTTTTTTTATTCTAAAACACTTAAAAAAATGTGCTCTTTTTTTCTCTTTTTTTTTTTTTTTTTTTCAAAATACACCTACCATCCGACTTACGACCGAGTTCGGTTCCGAGAAACTAGTAAGTCGAAATGGATGTAAGTCAAACTTTGCTACTGAATATCAACATATTTTTGTAATGACTTTATTTTATTGTTTTATTTTGGTATTTCATGTTTTGCTTTACTTTTTATGCTGTTAGTACTGTGTTTTATACTGTAAGGTTTAGGATAAACACTGTGTACAACACAAACACTTGTTTATTTCCCAGAAATTTGGCATAAAAAACACGGTCATAAGTCGAGTTGTCGTATGTCAAGCAGGTCATAAGTCGGATGGTAAGTGTATTCGGGGTGCTGCGCAGGTGAATGTATATATACGTTTGGACCGTTTAAGGGTTAAAGTGCAGGTATTGTACTCCCCACCTCCAGGACTTAAGTCCGTCTAATTGGTTTCCAGTGGCGTGTAGAGGTCTGGTGATGCCCGGGGCCAACTCCTTGATGTATGCCCCAAAGACTTAAGTATAAGGCCTAGTACTGAGAAATATTATGAGAAAGGGAGATATTTTGAATATGTAAACATGGATGAAACATGAAATAAACGCTTTATTCTATTTATGCGCCCACCCATCTGGATGCCCAGGGCCACCACCCCTTTCCCCATCCTCTGCACGCCACTGTTGGTTTCCCTGAATCCCTTCACAAAATATTACCCTGCTCACACTCCAACATCTCATCAAGTTCCAAAAAACATTTGTCTCCATTCACTCCTATCTAACATGCTCACACATGACTACTGCATGTCCAGGCCCCTTGCACACAAAACCTCTTTTACCCCCTCCCTCCATCCTTTCCTTGGATGAACCTACCCCTAAATGTTTAATATAAATAGGTTGAAAGTTTCCAGAAAGAATTTTTAAGAAAAGTTGACTTTATGGAGAAAAACTGGTAGTACAGAAGACTCTCTCTTGAAGTATATTAAGTTGTAAAATTATAAACCTCAACCATTACGCTCTGGTAATCCTGGTTCAACAGCTTTTCATGCAATTTTACTGCAAATTATTAAAAATATTTTACTACTTTTTCCCCATACTCGAGGAAATTCAAAAAAATTAAGATTTTTTTTTTTAGCTCATCAGCCATTTCTCACCAAGGCAATATACACTACATAAGAAAAGAAATTCATCATCAACTGTTATTTCAAGAAGTGGTAGGTTCATGTTAACCCATCAAACTACAACTATCTCATCCCACTTTCAGAGTGCAAAGACTGTACTGCACAGTACTGCACTTCTAACTTTCAAAACCTAAGACAAACTAGCTACTCTATTTAAGTCCTTTCAGAAATATTACCTACTTACTCCAGCAGCACGTCAAATCCCATAGATCAATTGCCTCAACTGACTCCAACCTCATATTTTCACATATGCCTCAATGTTCCACCCCTTATCTTCCAGTACCTGCTTCACATCTTCCTTCCAACTGTTCCCTGAATGTTCCATACACTATCTTCCACCCACTCCAGATATGTGCATAATTGTAACAGCTAATCTTGTTCTATTCTTTCTATATAATCAAAATATCACATCAGTTCCTCTTTCTCTATCTTGGAATTACACCTATCATTCCATCATATCTTATAATTTCTACATATAATTATTTTCATCATCACTTAAAAATATGGTAAATTTGTGGGATACAAAAGGGCATAACATCAGTAAGATATGTAGAGTATTTAGTAAAAGTTGTAGTGTTTTACACTTATATGATTTCCAGAGTTCCTCATTTACAGTGAAAATATTGGCTAAGAAAACACTTGCATTAATACACTTACGAGTCACTCTCCTCGCCACTAGAGGCACGTCTAGTGAACTGTCGGCGACGTTGCCGTGGAGGTCTGAAGGCAATTTTTCTGATATCATCTGTGTCTTGTGAATTACTTCTCTCAAAATTGCTGCATGGTCTTCTCCAAAGAAGAGCTGGGTCTACACCTGCTACTTCTTCCTGTAGAAAAGAATGTGTTATGTAAGGGGACTGTTGTTAAAACAATTCTTGTGGTAAGCGTTATGATTATTATGCACAGTACATGGTGTAACATTTGTGGCCCATATTCAAGTATAGATCACAACTAAGACTAAATATCCCATGTCTAACACCATCTACAGACCTACTGACAAAAAGTATAGCTATGAAGAAAATACAGATCAGGCTTAATATACAAAGAAATAGCAATGAAGATGTTCAAGAATACTAACCAAACTAATAAAGAAATCAAAATACCTTTACTGTGCTCACATATTTAGTTAAAAAGAGCTATGAAAAAAAGACCCAGAAAATTCTCTCACACATATATGGGGCTCTAGTAAAGTGACAAAACAAAAGTAATTACGTAAAATAAACCATTGAGCCTCCCATCTCAATTACAGTAATGGTAAATAAATTGTCTGTTCTAAACTAAATTATCAAACCTGAAAAAAAAATCTCAAATTCCCAACCCCTATTTAAATATTTTCTGATAATTACTCTAGGTAACTATATCACTAATTACTCTTTAACCCTCTGAGGGTTTCGGCTGTACTAGTACAGCTTACGACCCAGGGTTTTTGACGTACTAGTACGCCTAATTTCTAGCGCCCTCAAATCTAGTGGGAGAAAGCTGGTAGGCCTACATATGAAAGAATGCATCTATGTGGTCAGTGTGCACAGTATAAAAAAAAATCCTGCAGCACACAGTGCATAATGAGAAAAAAAAACTTTGACCATTTTTTTGGAATAAAACAGCGACTTTGCACTGTATTTTCGTATGGTATTTATTGTTGTATTCTAGTTTTCTTGGTCTCATTTTATAGAATGGAAGACATATTACAGAAATTGAGATGATTTTGACTGGTTTGACAATGAAAAGTACCTTGAAATTAAGCTCAAAGTAGCAGAAATGTTCGATTTTTACCAAAGTTCAAAAGTAAACAAATCATGCCAAGCGTCCAATACACGTCAACTGGTGAGTCTAATATTCTTTCGCAAGTGCGCCAATATTATTTATACCATTTTTTACACTAATGCAGTAGTCTGCATAACAGTAAATCTTCTATTTTTTGTGAGAATAAAAATTCAAAGTGGAAAGCAAAAGAATGTAAGAGGGGCCTTGAGACGTGACTAATGAACAGATTAAATGTCATTTTAGTGTCAGGAATGTCTTTCTTGTTTATTCTGGACCCTATTCGGAAATTGGCATCTTTTGAAATTTTTGTGAAATTGGCAAAATTGCTATATTCTGACCACTGTACTGGATAGTTGAAATTGGTAAATGGGTGGTTTCTTGCACTCATTCGATAGAAAAAATGGAGTTCTAGCGAAATATTCATGTTTTTCGTTGACTAGTACAGTGGAATTGGCCGAAAATGGGGCTCAAAGTGGGCAAAATCACTGATGTGTAAACATCGCCGAGACCGCAAACTTCCCGAGAGCATAATTCCGTAAGTTTTCCATCAAATTTCATACTTTTGGTGTCATTATGATCAGGAAAAGATTCTCTATCTTTTCATAATTTTTTTTTTTTTTAAATTTGGCTGACCCTGAGAACGAGTCTCAGAGAGGGCCTGTTCGACCCTCAAAGGGTTAAAGGAAATTCAATAATAATTTTGTTAAAAAACAGCATGAAATATTTATATTTATATTTAAATGGAATAAAGTGTTTATTTCATGTTTCATCTGTTTACATATTCAAAATATCTCCCTTTCTCATAATATTTCTCAGTACTAGGCCTTATACTTCATTCTTTGGGGCATACAATCAAGGAGTTGGCCCCGGGCATCACCAGACCTCTGCATGCCTCTGGGTGGAGAGTATTGTTGGTGAGACAGGTACATGTTCATGTACCCGTCTCCACTATCTGCAAACTCTCACTACAGAGTAATAGTAAACAGAGTAAAGTCTCATGCAGCCATGGTAAAAAGCTCTGTTCCACAAGGCACAGTACTTGCTCCCATTCTATTCCTCATCCTCATTTCAGACATAGACAGAGATGTAAGCCATAGCTTCATGTCTTCCTTTGCAGATGACACCCGGATTACCATGGCAGTGACCTCCATTGAAGATACTGCAAGACTCCAAGCGGACATCGACCAAATCTTCGAATGGGCCACTCAAAACAATATGAAGTTCAACGAGGAGAAATTTCAACTACTCAGATATGGGAGACTTGAGGAAATTAAAAATGTGTCACGGTATACCACAAATTCTAACCATACAATAGAGCAGAAAAGTAATGTGAAGGACCTGGGAGTGATAATGTCAGAGGATCTCACCTTCAAAGACCACAACAATGTATCTACCTCATCCGTTAGGAAAATGATAGGATGGATAATGAGAACCTTCAAAACTAGGGATGCCAAGCCCATGATGATTCTCTTCAAATCCTTTGTGCTCTCTAGGCTGGAATACTGCTGTACACTAACGGCCCCCTTCAAGACTGGTGACATTCCAGACCTGGAGAGTGTACAAAGAACTTTCACAGCACACATAAGTGCGATAAGGCACCTAAACTACTGGGAACAGTTGAAGGTCCTTGATCTGTATTCCCTGGAATGCAGGAGAGAGAGATACATTTGGAAGGTCCTGGAGGGATTGGTACCAAACCTGCACACGAAAATCACTCCCTATGAAAGCAAAAGACTTGTCAGGAGATGCAACATTCCCCCGATGAAAAGCAGGGGAGCCACGAGTACACTGAGAGACAACACATTAAATGTCCGGGGCCCAAGACTGTTCAATTGCCTCCCAGCATACATAAGGGGATTACCAATAGACCCCTGGCTGTCTTCAAGAAGGCACTGGACAGGCACCTAAAGTCAGTACCTAACCAACCGGGCTGTGGTTCATACACGTCAGCTTGTGTGCGGCCAGCAGTAACAGCCTGGTTGATCAGACCCTGATCCACCATGAGGCCTAGTCTCAGACCGGGCCACGGGGCACTGACCCCTGTAACCCTCTCCAGGTAAACTCTAGGTAAACAGTACACTCAAATACAAATGCCCATACCTCACACCAACCAACACTCTCACATTCACCCACCAACCCTCTAGCATTCACCCACCCACTCTCTCACATTCACCCACCCACCCTCTCACATTCACCCCCCACCCTCTTCACATTCACCTGCTCCCACCCCTGTCAATTCCCCCTGCTACCTACCCACTCTCACATTCACCTACCTACTTAGCCACCCTCTCACATTCACCCACCTACTTAGCCACCCTCTCACATTCACCTACCAACCTAGCCACCCTCTCACATTCAACTACCCACCTCTCACATAACCACACTCACACAAACATACATTCTCACACCCACCTCTCCACCAACTTTCTCAAACCCACCATCTTTCATGCACCCATCTACCCACCCTCACACCCATCTCTCATACCAACCCCCTACCCTTCTACCTTCACACCTACCCATAAACCCTCATGGTCTCTCTTATACCCAACCTTCATGCTCACCCTCTCTCTCCCACTCACATTAGCACCCACTTTCAAAAGAACTCACCTCTCACCCTCTAACACCCACAATCGAAACATCCACTCATGCTTTCTGAAATATTCTATGCCAAGTCTGCCACACACTACATTACACTACACACACCCACACACATATATTAGTGTTGTAAATTATGTACAGTACTATAAAATTACTGTACCATAGCACTACAGGTTGCAATACTCATATTCTTAGTGTCAGATTGTCTTCAGCATTTGTGGTCCAAGTCTTCAAGTTCAAAAGACAACCAGCTTCCTGCTCCCTGTGAGATTTAAGATCCATGGTTTGTCCACATAACAGTGCTGGCACCATCAAACTCCGGTATATTCCCTGTTTTGCCTCCATAGATGAGGTTCTTTGTCTGTAGTCATGCATCAATGTGCCATGCAGCCTTTTTCCCCTCATCAATTCTATTATTCTCTGTAGTCATGCATCAATGTGCCATGCAGCCTTTTTCCCCTCATTAATTTTATTATTCATCTCATCTTTCATAGACTCATCTGCTGACAAGTCCACTCCCAAATATCTAAAACACATTTACTTCATTCTCCATCCCTCCAATCTGATATCCAATCTTTCACTGCCTAGATTTTTTTGTTACTTATTACTCTGTTCTTAATTTCTTTCTTTCACATACCCTCCCAAATTAATCTACCTGCCTTTGCAACTTCTCTTCAGTCTCTCCCAAAAGAACAGTGTCATCTGCAAAAGCATTATAACAATTCTCACTTTGCATCAAATTTGTTATCTTTTAGTCTCACACCTCTCCCCAACACCCTATCATTCAGTTCTTTCACAACCCCATCTATAAATATGTTAAACAACCACAGTGACACCTCATTCCTGTGTGAGGCCTTCTTTTACTGGAAAATAATCTCCCTCTCTTCTACATACCTCAACCTGAGCCTCACTATCCACATAAAAGCTCTTTATTACTTTTAATAACTCCTACCTATTCCATACACTTACAACAATGATACACTCCTCCCCTATCCACCCTATTATATACTTTTCTTATCCATAACTGCAACAAAAAGCTCATTATGATTATTTGGGTATTACTCATTTGTACAGTTCAATGTAAACACTTTGTCTAGATATCCTCTATCCTTCCTAAAACGTTATTGTTCATCTGGAATTCTGCTCTCTCTCTCTTACCCTTAATAATTTCAATAACAACTCTACCATACACTTACCAGGTATACTCAACAGCCTTATTCTTCTACAATTCTTACACTCTTTTATCCCTTTCTTCTTATATAAAGAAACTATGCATGCTCTCTACCAATTCCTAGGTACTTTTTTGATTTAGTGAATATAGTGCCTTGATAATATGAGAAATCATGAAAGCACTTTGAATTTCACCATTTTTTTTTTTTAGCACACTGGCCATCTCCCACCAAGGCAGGGTGGCCAAGAAAAGAAGAAACAAAAGGTCTTCTTCTTTTTGCATATAGTAGTAATT